TCACTTGGAAGCTGGTTGCAGATCCTAGCCGCCCTGACCGTGAAGTAGCGCCTCCTGATGTCCAACTTAAACCTTCCCTCAACCTTAAAACTTAACCTTAAACCTTAAAAAAGTAAGGGTTTTTACTTTGTCTTAATGCCATTTCCAAATTTTGTGCGTCTTCAGTTGTTTCCTTTTTTAGAGGTTCATAGGTCCTTTTATAGTATGGTAAATCTGAGTAATTTCTGAGAGTGCTTTAAACTTTCTTGAGATTGTTTACACATCTGATGGGTGTCCTGGTTTTGTGTGGAGATAGTGAAAGTCAGCTAGTAGAACTGGTCAGAAGAATTTTAAAATTGTTGGGGTTTCAGACTGGGTCAGGGAGCAACAAATTTCCCAAACATCAAAATAGTCCAAAATGGATTTTTTTGCCCGCCTTTAGGAAACAGATGTATAGGATTTGTAGTTAGCTCAGTGTGGGTGATAGAGTTGAATATGCACAACTTTAATTACCAGTTATGTATTGGAATTAATGATTTGGTGAATGCAAATTTATAACTTTTTTTATTTTGTTTGCAATAACTTATTTAAAAAAAATCATTCTTTTATTTTTTATTTTAGGAAGCTTTCAAGGCAGTGGAGGATATTCATGGGCTCTTCTCTCTGTCTAAGAAACCACCCAAACCCCAGTTAATGGCAAACTACTATCACAAAGTTTCAACTGTTTTCTGGAAATCTGGAAATGCTCTCTTCCATGCATCCACACTTCATCGACTTTATCATTTGTCAAGAGAAATGAGAAAGAATCTCACACAAGAGGAGATGCAAAGGTGGGGAAAGATGCTTAACCTGATTCCTAGCTCCTTATTTTAAACACTTAAGCAAAAATCAATTAAATCAAGTCTGAAAAGAAGTATATGGAATATGTGTTTGAGAGAGGGTTGGCATCAGATGTAAGCAACTTTTATTAAAGGAGTAAGTACTGACTGCCTCAAATATCTTGCATAAGAAGGACATTTAACAAAGCTTATAAATGCAGAGAGCAGCAGGACTTCCTGAATTCTGTTTCTGCTGATTGAGAATCTGAGTAAGTCCCTCAGTGTCTGCAGCCATTTCTAGATCACAAACTTACCATGCCTAGCAGTGGTGACTTCAGAAATACCCCACTGGTCTTCATGCCTGGTTCCCGTGCCTTCCAGTCAGTGAGTAGTGTTATTGTGCAGTGCCAATGGTGAGTTGTTTTGCAAAATTAGACTAAAATGGTTCCGGCTACATACCTGTTATTTGGGTATTGTATAGCATTTTGGTATTTAAAGAGGAGTATTACATAAATTCTTATGTACTGAATGCCAGTACTGAAGTGCCAAGGTGTTTTGTTTTGTGCTATTGCTTTTATTTTGACATGGAATAGTTTTGAAAAAATAAATAGTTTGCTGCTTTGTTCTTGCATTGATTGGGTGCTTCTGTTTCCAATTTGAATGTATTAGAAACTTAGTAATTAATGATTCTTTCACTGTTGATGGTTTCTGATCATGCTTCATCAACAGGATGTCTACCAGAGTCCTTCTGGCCACGCTGTCAATCCCTATAACTCCTGAGCGAACAGATATTGCTCGTCTTCTGGATATGGACGGCATTATTGTTGAAAAACAGCGACGTCTGGCAACACTGCTGGGGCTCCAGGCCCCACCTACACGTGTCAGTCTTATTAACGATATGGTAAGTAAAAGTGTTTTGGTGGAAGGGGTTAACTAAATTTATATTTTGTCTCTAAAGCAGCTGTCATAGGATGCAGAACAACAGTTCACAATGTAGTATGTTAAAACTTTTTCGTTTGATCCTCTATTTGTAAATGGAAATTGTTCCATAAATCATAAACACTTTTTAATTAAACATTATATTGAGGCAAGTATGTTACTTATTTTACTTCCTAGCTACAAAGCTGCTGGATATAAAGTCAAATTGATCAAAGAAGTATTTATCTTGAGAAAATATTTTTTCTATTTTGTTGGTTCCAGGTAAGGTTCAACGTGGTGCAGTATGTAGTTCCAGAAGTGAAGGAACTTTACAATTGGCTTGAAGTAGAATTCCACCCCCTAAAGCTGTGTACCCGTGTAACCAAGGTAAGTCCTGTAGCTGCATATGGAGAATCACTAGTTTGTGTAGTTGGTTTATATAAATATTAATTTGTTATAGAAGTCATGTGGTTTATCATTGGTCAGGGTTATGGATGTCACTTGGCCATGTCCATTATTGCACACTGTTATACGAGCACATCACTGTGAATGATGCATCAGGTAGTCTTTAAAAGCAATTTTAACCTCTCAGCTCCCTCAACACCTGTAATTATATATTTTTTTTATTATCTGAACACTGAAATTTGCTCCAACATGGGAAATTTTTGGTGGTGAAAGTGACCTTGGGGGGAGGTAGTTGATTGGACTGTTGGTGACGGTCTTTCTTGCCATCGTAAAGAGACTCTGAATTTCAACTCTGGGGGAGAGGGAAAGTCTGAAACAGCTGTTTGTATTTGGCACAGAATGGCTAAGGACAGAAATTACATATAAACTGGTATAAGTGATTGGAAGCTGGTTCATATCTGTAACACAACAGAATTTTGGTGCACGAAGACTACTTCAAGTGTGGGCAAAACCAGCTGAAAATAAACCTGGATGGATGTAGTATCAGACTTGACTGATTTAAGTTAAATTGGTTTATTGAACTTCTCTTCCAGATCCCTTTCGGATTCAATTAAACTCACAGTTCTCCAGCATCCCAGGATGCTTTGCACCTCCCCTGCAAACCCCCTTTGCAGGTTGGCAGGCTAGACTTGGCTTAAGCTGTCTGCTCCAGCCAAGCATGCTGTAGCAAGCTTCTGGCCTGAGCTACTGCAGGCAAGTTGCTGCACTTCTGGAATAAAAATGAATGTCTGTTCATTTGCGTATCAGTTCAATCTGTGGAGCTTGAACTAACTTGCAAAGACGAATTTGGCTTTTTGACTGTCTGTACTTATCCTAAGAGTCAACACATGCTTAGTAAGCAGAATTTGTCTAATTTCCACAAATCCTGGAGCACAGAATGGTTTTTCTCTGTTTCTGTGAGAACAAAGATATTTGATATGCTAACAAATAACAGAAGAAAAGTTAGCAGTGTGATTAAGGTAGTCAGTCAGTCACTTTTGTGCAAAACCTATTAAGTGCCTATTACATAAAAAAAAGCAGTGAACTTTTGAAAAGAACTCTTAGTACAGAATAGGTACACCTTACTTCATGAGTTGTAAAATTAAGCTATCCTGGAGTGTCATTTGTTTCACTTTTTCAAGCTGAATGGTTTTTTTGGACCCTTAGATAAAATAATCTGGGTATTATGCAGGTCCTGAACTGGGTGAAAGATCAAGCTGAAAAGGAGCCTGAACTGCAGCTCTATGTCCCACATCTGCAAAACAACACCATTCTTCGACTCCTGCAGCAGGTATGGTCAAACAGAGAGCATGCTCGCAGTGCTGTATAGTTTAGGGAAAGCTTTGGATCAGTGTTTAGCTAAAAGTTTTGATGTCCAAGGAAAAATTTTTCTTTGAATGCTTAGTATGACATTGGGAGAGTGTTTTCCAGCACACACGCTTCCTACCTCCATATGTTCTGTTTTGGATTAAATTATTAGGCACAACTCTAGCACTTCTTATTAATAGCGGCTGCATAGTATGGTATGTATTTTGTATAGGCTTTTTATTTCTTTATTCATCTTTTGAAGTCTTAGCATATCTGTTTGTTTCTAGTAGGCTTCTTTTCTTTGTCTTGTTTTGCCAAATGCACATTTCATTGACCTGCACTCGTTGCAAGTGGTGAGCAGTGTTATTTCTGATGTGCTAAACAAACAGTTGAAGGCTAATTAACAGCATTGCTACATATAGCTACTGTTGTCAGTCTCCTTCAGACAAATAATATAGGATCAAGTGACCTTCCTGAATAAAGTTTGAATAAAGTCCAGGAAGAAAATCCTAAAGGAACTTAAATAAAATGTAAATTCATCTCATCTTGATGATCTGTTACCTACCTATCTTTTATTAGGCTAGCTTTGCAACATATGTAGCAATTTTAATGTATTTATTTTCATTTTTAATGGGCAAGAGACTAAATGTTGTTTTGTTGTGCAGGTGGCCCAAATTTATCAAACCATCGATTTTTCTCGTCTGGCTACCCTTGTTCCCTTTGTCGATGCTTTCCAGCTGGAACGTGCTATTGTAGATGCAGCCAGACACTGTGACTTGCAAGTAAGTGTTATAAATACCTTCCTGTAAAAGCATGTATTAATAGTTTTCCTTGTGCTGAACAAGCTGTGGGGCTGGATGAAAGCTAGCTAGCTGATGATCCACTTAGATAAGACAGGCTTGATGCTGGTGGACTGGAAAGAAGTAATCATTGTAAGTGGTGCAAGTGATGTCAATTTGTTGATTTTTTTTTTTCTTTCTTTAAATAGTTGCTTACCTAGAGTAACAGAGGAGTGCACTTCATAAATAAAAAACATTTATGCCACTGGAACCTGGGCAGGGGCAATGTCCTCCTGCTGTGGGGGCAGGGAGCTCCCTGCACAGGGAGAGTTTTCCACCCAGCCCGGAGCTGGCTGGGACCTGCAGCTCAGAGAGAAACAATTCTGCACCTCCTCCAGAAGACAGCTCTCCTGGCCCTGTGCTCCCTGTCAGCCCCTGGGCTACCACCCAGAGGGAGCCTAGCGCTTCCCCTAGCTGCTGCAGGGGGCCAGTGCAGGGGCAGGAACAGACTGTGCTGCCAGGAGCAGCAATTCTGCTCCCAAATGGACGCATGTGTAGATGCCTGCCCAAAGTGGGTTTACTTTGAAGTAATTTACTTTGGAGTAAACCTATCCAGCAATATTTGCACGTGTAGATGTGCCCAGTGATGTCCTATTCACCGTCTTAATCATGAGCTTCTTTAATTTATGTAAAGGTTCGCCTTGATCATACCTCTCGAAAACTGAGCTTTGGATCAGATTTGAACTATTCTACTCGAGAAGATGCTCCACTTGGTCCTCAGCTGCAAAGCATGCCTTCTGAGCAAATTAGAAATCAGCTCACTGCTATGTCTTCTGCTCTTGCTAAGGCTCTTGAAGTTATTAAACCCCCTCACTTGTTGGTAAGTATTTTTAAACTTGGAAAATGTCAACAAATATTGTTAATTCATGAACAAAATAGTGTAATGCATATCTGATATCCTTGTACAACCTCTGTACAGCTGTTTCTTGCCAAATCAAATGCACATTTCATTGACCTGCTCTCAGAATAGTGAAGAGTGGTGTTATTTCTGATGTGCTAAAAAAACTATTGGAGGTTAATTAGCAACATGACTGTATGTAGTTATTGCTGCCAGTCCCCTTCAGACAAATCAGCTGATCAAGTTCAGTATGTAAAATTCAATGTAGAAGTACAGGTTTCCCTCGCTTTATGACAGTTCTGCATATGTGAATTTGCTCTTATGTGATGACCCTTTTTATAGCAAAAATTTTTTATATGCAAGATAAATTCACACTCATGCAATCGGCGTGGTGGAAGCCCGCAGTGAGCTGCATTGTGGGAGTGATGTACAGTGTACAGCTGTACAGTCCATTGTAGAGTGATGTGCACCAAAATATAGTCTCCATTGTGGATCTGTGCTCCTCACTTGTTGTCTGACACGTATTTCTGTTGTTCCCATCTCCATTATGATAGTGCCCTGTGCTTGCGTGCACTTTCTGCTGTTGGTGAGTACCAAAATTGTCTTGTAGAAGTGGTAGAATTGGTTCAGGGGGTCAGTATAGTCGAGATCTTGGAACATATCTCTATTTGTTACATTGTAAAGTGGGTTCCCTGTATGCAAATTCGAGTTATGCACTGTTTTCTAGGAACACATGTACAGCATAAAGCAAAGGAAACCTGTAATGTGATTTTTCATGGGAAAAGCTAAATGTATTTTATGCAACTGAGACAGTGAAAGAATGCTGTCTCCACCCTTGTAATTGCACTGGATTTTCTGGGTTAGCCTGATATAATTGTTTTGGAGCTGTGAGTACTTCCTCAGCATTAGCTCTCCTATGACACATTAGGCAGGCTATAAGTAGTTACATTAAATAAGCTCTGCTAGGTTTTGATTAGTCAAAATTTTGACTGTTTTTTTTTTTTTTTTAGTACTGTGTTGCTCTCTTTTTTTCCTCCTGTTCCTTAGCAGCTACTCTTACATAGCATTGTGGCATTTGTTTTTAATAGTTATAATGAGTGATATTTGAATACTTTTGAATTTATTGAAAACATAAGAAACTAAGAATGTGGTATTTTAAAACGTAAGGAAGGTGTCAGACTAACTTCCAACAATGCCCTCTCCATCTTGCAGCATGAGAGAAGCTAACAATTCCCAAATGCAGCCAGTCAGTTCTTGTGTGGTGACATTATTAAAGACTGTTGTCAGTGTGTGCATGAGGGACAGAAATAAGATTGCCAGGGAGAGATTTGTCAGGTTTTTTTTTGTGAAGAAAAAGATCATTTTTCTGAATTTTTGCACGTATTGTATCAGATTGCTCTTTGGAATTGTCATTGTGACAGACATGGAATGCAATCTCGCAGCAGAATCTAGAAACCGTGAGCTAAAGCTTTGGCTGCCTAAAAATTGGCTTCCTTCCTCCTCCCCTTGGGGATGGTGGCTGTTAGTTGAATTTCAGCTTCTACCTGTGATATCCCGTGTTTCCAGGTTCTCCAAAGGTTTTCAAACAAAAAAGTGGTGAGTCAAAAGCTGATATTGCCAATATACTTACTTTTGAGTTAGTGTTTACTGGTCAAAAAGAAGTAAATGGCAAATGTACTTTTGCTTTGCAGTAATGTTTTGAGAAGGGATGGCTCTTGGAATGTAAAGTATTAAAACGTACTGTCCTAGCAATGTGCCTTCTTCAGAGTTTGTGTTCAGTATACTCCTTTTATCTATGCTGTTTCAGCTGCATGTAACTGCAAAACTTTAAAGATGGCTGCTTGCATATTTAAGTACTAATAGTGGTTGCCATAGTAACCTTTTCATAGCTTTCTCAGGATTGGTTCCAAAGCTTAGTTAAGTCAATAGGGGTCTCCCTGGCTATTCCAATGGGCATCTAATTATGTATGCCATCTGTAACTTCCAAGTTCTTATACTATGACTTGCCACACAAACCCATTCATGCACAGCGAAGGTTAAAATAATGATAGTGGTGTTTAATATATTTCATTTTTAGCAATCTTAGGAAAAGATGCCAGTTTCTCATCAAGTATTTTTCCCATAGGTAAAAAGTCAATTGAAAAAAAAGACTAATAATCTAATTTGTATATCATGTTACCGGCACCTGATAGATCCTAGTTGAAATGTTAAGTGTTATTGTACAAATAGTACAACATGATGAGTAGCAACATCACGTTCCAATTCACTATGTAAAATACATATTGTGAAGTTACCCAGAACTTATGTTTGCTGAGCATACTCTTCAGCATTTAGTTTAAAACATTTCTATCTAACATTTGTAATGTTTTTAAAATAACGTAATTTTGTTATGATATTTGGCTAATGGGCTGTGAACAGTTTTCTTTAAAGGACCTTCGAGCCTAATCTTGAAGTCTTGGTTTCAGTGTTTAACTTTTTCATGATTGATCCCTTTTAAAGAGATGCTGTCTCTTGTTCTTAACTCACCCATTCATTTTCATTTAGCAAGAGAAGGAGGAGCAACATCAGATGGCTGTTAATGCATACTTAAAAAATTCAAGGAAAGAGCATCAACGTATCCTTGCTCGTCGTCAAACTATAGAAGAGAGAAAGGAGCGTCTTGAAAGTCTAAACATTCAGCGTGAAAAAGAAGAGCTGGAGCAACGTGAAGCTGAACTACAAAAAGTTCGTAAAGCTGAGGAAGAAAGGCTGCGCCAGGAGGCAAAGGAGAGAGAAAAGGAGCGTATTCTGCAGGAGCATGAACAAATCAAAAAGAAAACTGTTCGAGAACGGTTGGAACAGATCAAGAAGACTGAACTGGGAGCCAAGGCATTCAAAGATATTGATATTGAAGTAAGCAATTCTCATTGGAGTATCACATTTTTCTAGGTGCTTGAACAACTAATTTCCATGTTCTCCATCTGCTTTGTTCTCTCCTTGCTATATGCAAGAAAATCATTTTCCCATTTAAAAATGAGACTATGCATTTGGGTGATTTTAAATATCTGATTTTGCTCAACCTCTGGAGTAAAACTGAACACTGAGCTTGACTAGAAGCTGTGTTCTAGTAGGAATGAAGGGCATGTTTTGAGAGGAGTCTGCTGACTTCCTCTGTCTAGCTGTTTACATAGCAAATAAGACACGACATAGACATCCAGGTCCTTTGTGTGATGTCTGGACTCTGTCTTAAAATTCAGATTAGTGTCCATTAGATGCCTTTACAAGTAACATACAGGTTGTACAATAGACACTCACAGAAGCCTAAAATGTTTCCACAGTCAGCCAATTTGAAGACTAAGTGAGAAATTGCAGAAAAGTTAAAGTAAATAGAGGAAGCTGCATTCATGCTAGGAAACAAACATTTGCTTTCTGTTCTGTTAATTATCTTTATCTGGTTTGTAGGATCTTGAAGAATTGGACCCTGACTTCATTATGGCTAAACAGGTTGAACAGCTGGAGAAGGAAAAGAAAGAACTCCAAGAACGTCTGAAGAATCAGGAGAAGAAGGTATAGAGCAATGGTTCTCAGCCTTTTTAGACTCGAGGCACCCCTCCAAAAACGTTAAAAATAAATATTGTGCATATTATAATACTATAGTATGCGTATTGGAATTCAATTATTTTAAAATAATTGGAGGCAGTTGATTAAATAATTATATTCACACCAGAGCACAGCACAGCTTCTGCAGAGCCAGGTCTGGAAATAGCTCTGGCAGGAGTGTGAAACCCTGCACAATGTCTCCTGGAAATGGAGGTGTGTCAAACAGTTCTGCCTAATGGAAGTGGCATCTGTCTCCAGGCTGCTGCTACCTCGGGGTGAAGCTGCCCCACATGCCTCCTTTTTCAGGAGGCACATCAAAGCTGAATCAAGAAGAGCTTCAGCAGAAACGTGCCTGTCTGCATAATGTACTCCTTTCTGCTGCAGCTGCTTCTCAGGTTATGTCTGATGTGCCTCCTGAAAAGAAGCGCACAGGGCTGGAATTATGGCACCCTATTTGAGAACTACTGGTATAGAGTGGTGAGAAGCACGGCTTGTCTCCACAGAAACGTATACAGTTATAATTACCTGTTGTAAACTCTGTTTATATTTGTTTGTGTACTCGGTTATATTGGTTTTAATACAATTATCTGTTTGCCTTGCCCCTGTGCATTCACTGAGGCAAACTATAAACCGATAAAGGCAGGCTTACATTGATTTACTGTCCACATAGAAATGTGCACTAGATGTGCACTGATACTTTGGCCCATATCGTATCAGCACCAATGGAAGGAAAATTGACATAATTGGCAGTTGGCTTTTTTTTGGCTGATGTGACTGATAACATTGCTGATAAATGCTGTGTGCGTGCGTGCAACCGCAGCATGGAAGTGGATCTGGGGTATGTGCTGCCCAGGCAGGGCTCGGGACAGAGCTGTGAAAGGCTGGTCCGGGATGCGGGGGGAGTGGATCCTGCCGCTCTGTGCATCCCTGGAGAAGCAAATCTGTGAAGTACAAATATTTTTAGCATACCAGGTTTGGTGCTTTTTTACATAAGATAGGTTAAAATTACATACATATTTATATATTTCTCTATTTAGATTGACTATTTTGAACGAGCAAAACGCTTAGAAGAAATTCCTCTAATAAAGAGTGCTTATGAAGAACAAAGGGTTCATGATATGGAGCTGTGGGAGCAGCAGGAAGAAGAAAGGGTGAGGAGTTTTCATTTCAAATGGCAGAATCATTTAGTAATTTGTATAAGAGCTGTATTTGTCGGCTTGTTTGAGGTGGAGGTTTTCAGCTTCTTTTTATTGGTGGACAACAATACCCTTTTGCCTCAGCCAGGGTGGAGACAATAGGCAGCTATCTGATACGCTGTCTTCAGTGATGGTCTATGAGTATTGAAAAAAAAAGTAATAAACTTTTTATCTTCTTTTACTACTTGTATTTTTACAGATCACCACTCTGCAGCTGGAACGTGAGAAAGCCCTTGAGCATAAGAACAGATTATCAAGGATGCTGGAAGATAGAGACTTATTTGTAGATAGGCTCAAGACAGCACGGCGATCAATTTATGAGGTGAACAAGATCCTGTGTGCTTGTAAAAATGCTTCCATGAAGTACTAGACTTGATTTCTATCCTTACTGTTCCTCATGAAAAGGATGAATGAGTTAGTGTATGCAGGTGGGGGGAAAAAAGTAGTTTTAGTTTATGCAACTAATAGACAAAATTGGTGCTTAGCTTTCTTTCTGGCTGTCCAGAAGAGCTTCATCATGAAGTTTCAGGGGATAATCCAAATTCAGAGAGTTAAACCTTTAAAAGGAAAAGATGGCTGCCACAATGTAACATTAAAACAGAACAGTTTTATAATTCAAGGGAGTTATATCCCAAAGCCTTTGTCTACATTTCATTATCTTTCTTTGCAGGTTATGTTAAGAGTAGGGCTGGGAGGAGAGATGTCCACAAAACTATCTGGAAGATGGACCCATATCCCTTCCTAAGCACCATCACTGGTGATACAGTTGTTTAGCAGGAGAAGTAAGCATTAAAAGCTGTATTTTAGCTCTTAATGCAGTATGGAGCTGGAGATGAGGGAGCCAGAACCATGTGACTGGTTAGTTCTTTTGGACCACAAATAATACACAGGCTATAATTCAGAATCACACAACTTCTTGGAGTAATATTGAAAATCTCTGTACTCTGAAGAATCACTCTTTATGTGATTCTTTTGTGGCAGTAAATGTAATTCCTTCAAGATAAGCAGCAATCAAACCACTTACTGATTCTTCTCATAGGTAGGAGTTGTGTTGCTTCATTTCTGATTTGCAGAAATGAATTACTGGCTTGTAAAATGGCTAGTAGATAGGAAAAAAAGGTGACTGTTGCAAAACATGGTGACACAGTCATTGTTTATCATCAGTGTGAAGTCAAGAAGTTACAACATCTTTGTGAGTCTGGCATCTGATGAAGTCAGTAACCTCAGCAACTCTGAAGCTACGAAAAGTTAAGGACTGTTGGTTTTACTTCTGCTCTTCATGTATTTTAGGAAAAATTGAAACAGTTCCAAGACAGGTTAGCAGAAGAAAGGCATGCTCGTTTGGAGGAACGCAAAAAACAACGCAAAGAGGAGAGGCGGATTACCTATTACAGAGAAAAAGAGGAAGAAGAGGAGAGGCTGCGAGAGGAGCAGATGCTTAAAGGTAAAGTTAAGACACTTGGATTGAATGAACAGACTAGAATTGTCTCTCTCTTTGAACCACCGCGAAAACTCACAGCGTCAGTTTTAGGTTGCCGTATTCTATCATGTTGGAGACAGTTTCTCTCTGACTAGGAAGGTTCAGTATTCCTTATCAGCCATTGCATCTTGTGAACTGAACTGTGCAGCCAACCAACCAACCAACCAACCTTCTGGCAGTATCTCTATGTGCACACACAGTGAAAAACAGGTGTGTGAAGGGCGAGTGGGTGAGCTGAGGCATGTGGATGAATGGCGCATAGTGAAAGAGCATGAAAAAATGGGATTTAGAGAGCCTTTGCCTTTGGGTTTTAAATTTGAGTTCTGGCAGTCATTTTGTACCTAAGCCATTATGTTTTTCTTTTACTTGAGAGTTACTTGGTTACAAAAGGGGAATGCCATTGTTCATAAACCCTAAAATGCTTACCTTGGCTTTTGGGTGTGAAGAGGAGATTGAATCCTCTCTTCCTTCCATTCTAAACAATTAGGACTTCCTTTACTGTGTGTTTAAACTTTCTTGAAAGAAAAATAACGTTTTACACGTTCTTGTTGCAGAGCGCGAAGAGAAGGAACGTATTGAACGCGAGAAACGTGAGCAAGAACAGCGTGAATACCAGGAGCGGGTCAGAAAACTAGAAGAAGTGGAGAGGAAAAAACGTCAAAGAGAACTTGAGATTGAAGAGAGAGAGCGTCGCAGAGAGGAGGAGAGAAGGGGTCTTGATGATCCATTTTCAAGAAAGGTAACGGTTCTGGTTTGTTTGCAGACTGGTTACTTTTTCCGCTGCTAAAAGTTTGTAAGAGGTGGAAAATATAGCTCAGTTGTGTTAATGAAAGCAGTGCAGAGATATATCTCCAAAGGGGAGAAATTAAAATATTTTGTTAATGGCTGGAGATCAGCTATTTTCAGTTCATTCAGTGCGGGCCTCAGGAAACTACTGTTATGCCAGAGCACCAAGATTTTTGAAGACTGTAAGGGTAGAAGGGACATAAATTTTCTTTTGGTCAGCATGTATTTTGTGAAGCGCCTTTCTGAAATAAAAGCATAATGACATAAGATGAAGTTGTGAAGCACAAGAGCTCTTAAAGGAAAGTTAAAATATAATCCCAGGTTGGGAGCAGAAGTAGGAGGAAGGAGGGTGAGCCAAAAGACTCAGTGGCAGCCGCAGCAGGAGAGCAACAGAGGGAGGTGTGCCTGAACAGGGAGTTCGGGGCCGCATGTTAACTCTCCAGGGGTTGAATGTGGGCTGCCAGTTGGACAGCTCTTTTGGTGTCTGCTAGGGCCAGTCCAGGACATATGGTCATCCTAGTCATCTCCCTGTTTTAAAAAAAAAAAAAAAAAGTTTTGTATCTAGAGTACTTTGAAACATTTGTCCTGTAAGGTTTTGTTTATTAGAAGGTCAAGTCGTGAAATTAATAAATAATACTTTGACCAGGCTAAGATCGATATCATTGGATGCCTGCTGCCATGTATGGTAGTAATGTAAAATGTCTTTGACTTGAGTATTGGTACATTAGGATTAAAATCTAGCTGCCAGTTTTTAATGCTCCAGAATTGATCCTGTACTCATAAGATCTAATAAACGTTTTAATTTGTTAGCCTCTAGGTGTCCAAAAACACTGTGTACAGTGCCTTGCACATTGGGGCCCCGTTTTTTGTTGGTTCTTAAGCTTTCCCACAACAAGCAAGATAACGATCGGGTAGGGCTACTATTTAGCTCAGCCAACTTCATATTAGTCTGCTGTCCTGTAGAGTGTAACACTTGAATACTTGATGCCATGGCATGGGGTTAAGTGAATAAGCTGTGTGTAGAAATTGTGTGCACAACTCTGTGTATTTTAGAGTTACCAAAGAGGATGCTGCTAAGTTGCAGCAGGGAAGTTGAGGTTTGATATTAGGAAAAACTCACTAGCAGGGTTACCCAGAGAGGTTGTGGAATCTCTAACCTTGGAGGTTTTTAAGACTTGGCTAGACAAACCCTTGGCTGGGATGATCTAGTTGGGGTTGGTCCTGCTTTGAGTGGGGGGTTGGACTAGATGACCTCCTGAGTCCCTTCCCATCCTAATTTTCTCTCCTCATTTATTTTGGTACATATAGGAGTCATCTCGCTGGGGAGACAGAGATGGTGAAAGCTGCTGGAGAAGAGGCGCTGAGCCAGAATCGGAGTGGAGAAGAGGACCACCAGAAAGGTGTTTATAGAGAAATTGAGCACAATGTGTTTTGGGCCCAGCTTGTAGACACTTTTACCATTGCTGTTTTCCAAGTTGCCTTCGCCACAAATATAAATCTACCTAGCATTTGCACCTTTAGAAGGTGCTTCCAGGGATTCTTTAAAATCCTTTGTGAGGATTCTAAAATTTAGAGAAAAGGTGTGAGAAGCATAAATTTGGGAGGGGGGCAGAACATGATGAGATACATAAGGTAACAGACAACTCAGTTGTATGATTTCTCATGCATTCTTTTTCTGGTAACTGAAGTTGCATAAATTTCAAGGCTTAGTTAAACCATTTTCATTGTATCCAGTTGATACCAACACACATCTAATATATTGACAGCTGCTAAAAAGATTTTTCATTTCCTAAAAATCTAGTTTGTTCACAGCTGTTTTCACTTGCATGATCTGCTGCAGAACTAAAAATGTGGGGATGATAGTGACTAGATAAAGACTTTGCTGAAGAATTTGTCGTTAGGAAATTGAAAGATGTCAGGAAAACCCCAACAAAACCCCTGTGGGAGCAGAATTCAGTGCTTTGCAAGCGATTTAAGTTCAGGATGGCTGAAAGGAGGGCTGAAAATATATGCTCCAAACTGAAACAAAGATGCAAAAAAAAGGCCACTTTGATCAAAAATGAAGAGAAGAACTGATGGGGAGAATTTAACAGCAGGATGTTTTGAAGCTGCTTATTTTTTCATGTCCAAATATTTAGGATGTTTGAACATGTTCACTGGTAGCTGAAATTTTCAACGAGGCTGCTTAAAGGGAGAAATAATAGGAGCTACTATGCAATTCAAACTTTTGCTTTCCTTTTTCATGCTGTCACAATGAATCAAATCATCATATCAAAATAGCCTTTGAAAACTTACATGAGGCTATTGAATATTATCTTGACTAATTCTTTTAGTTTGACCCAACAGAGAAATTAGTAATCTAATTTTAATAGTCAGAGATGATGGACATAATTCTGGATTTTTTTTTATGTACCTGAAGTCTCACTGACTTTAGTGAGAGTTTGCATGTCCAACTGGGGATTATGGTCTGTTTTTATAAACTATCACAATCCGTGAGAAACTGAAACCCAGGGGGGGTATCTCATTGTCCCAGGGCTCCAAAAACATATATGCACTATTTGCATCTTTATGGCAACTTATCGTTTGTTCCTGACCACTGGTGAAGAAACTGCTTTTGGAAAATTAGTTTTCTTCACATTTTAGGAAAATTATTTGTTGTCAAATCTGTGGGTTATTACCTGCATGTGTAAGTAAAATAGGAGCTATGTTGATCACATTAAGTACTGGTGTGAGCATAGAATTACAATGCATGGGCCACATGTTAATTTTCTAAATTTTTTAGGGGCCCTGCGGGCCAGATACAATGGCCTGGCAGGCCGCATCCAGCCCCCAGGGCATATTTTGCCCACCCCTAAACTAGATGTTAGTCTGCAGCTTTTCTGGATTGCCACGTGTGGTGGTAGCAGGAGCCATGCTTTAAGAGGAATACACTTAGATACCAGTTCCCTTTCTGCTCTTAGATTCTCACAAACCAGCCTGGAAGCAGGCAGTAATTCAAGTCAGAGCTGTTCTTAGCTTTGTAGTGCTGCAGTTCACCAGCAGGGGAGCTGCTTGAGACCTGCTCCAGGGGCCAGGCCTCTGGACAGGTGATGCCTTCTGCCTCCTTACCGTAGTCATAAGTCTGCTTGAACTTGAAAATAGTGATGGCATTGGGTTGGCAAATAACTTTACAGCCCCAATCCGAAAGCAACTTGCTGAAAATACCATTACTTGAACAAAGGTGTGCTGGTTGTAGCTGTGTTAGTTTAAGGACATAGGCAGACAAAGTTCTTTGGGTGAATCTGGTATCTTTTATTAGACCAGCTAAGGTAGTTTGAAAAATACTTCTTTGCAAGCTTTCGGGTACAACACCCTTCTTCTCACTCTAACGCATACATTTTTTCCTCCATGTAAACTCACTCTTTCTGTGTGGTTAATAGGGACTGGCGTCGGGGAGAAGCACGAGATGATGAAAGGCCCTTCCGACGAGGAGATGATCCAATTAGACGTGGGGGTGCTGATGAAAATGAGCATCCTCCCTCGGAAACAACTGATGAGACGGGCCCCAGGCGTGAAGTGGATGAGGACAGGGGCCCCAGGCGGGGCTTGGATGAGGACAGGGGCCCCAGGCGGGGCTTGGATGAGGACAGGGGCCCCAGGCGTGAAGTGGATGAGGACAGGGGCCCCAGGCGGGGCTTGGATGAGGACAGGGGCCCCAGGCGGGGCTTGGATGAGGACAGGGGCCCCAGGCGTGAAGTGGATGAGGACAGGGGCCCCAGGCGGGGCTTGGATGAGGACAGGGGCCCCAGGCGGGGCTTGGATGAGGACAGGGGCCCCAGGCGTGAAGTGGATGAGGACAGGGGCCCCAGGCGGGGCTTGGATGAGGACAGGGGCCCCAGGCGTGAAGTGGATGAGGACAGGGGCCCCAGGCGGGGCTTGGATGAGGACAGGGGCCCCAGGCGTGAAGTGGATGAGGACAGGGGCCCCAGGCGGGGCTTGGATGAGGACAGGGGCCCCAGGCGTGAAGTGGATGAGGACAGGGGCCCCAGGCGGGGCTTGGATGAGGACAGGGGCCCCAGGCGGGGCTTGGATGAGGACAGGGGCCCCAGGCGTGAAGTGGATGAGGACAGGGGCCCCAGGCGGGGCTTGGATGAGGACAGGGGCCCCAGGCGGGGCTTGGATGAGGACAGGGGCCCCAGGCGTGAAGTGGATGAGGACAGGGGCCCCAGGCGGGGCTTGGATGAGGACAGGGGCCCCAGGCGGGGCTTGGATGAGGACAGGGGCCCCAGGCGTGAAGTGGATGAGGACAGGGGCCCCAGGCGGGGCTTGGATGAGGACAGGGGCCCCAGGCGGGGCTTGGATGAGGACAGGGGCCCCAGGCGTGAAGTGGATGAGGACAGGGGCCCCAGGCGGGGCTTGGATGAGGACAGGGGCCCCAGGCGGGGCTTGGATGAGGACAGGGGCCCCAGGCGTGAAGTGGATGAGGACAGGGGCCCCAGGCGGGGCTTGGATGAGGACAGGGGCCCCAGGAGGGGCTTGGATGAGGACAGGGGCCCCAGGAGGGGCTTGGATGAGGACAGGGGGAGCTGGCGGGCTGCAGATGAGGACAGGGGCCCCAGGCGCGGCCTGGATGAGGACAGGGGCCCCAGGCGCGGCCTGGATGAGGACAGGGGCCCCAGGCGCGGCCTGGATGAGGACAGGGGCCCCAGGCGCGGCCTGGATGAGGACAGGGGCCCCAGGCGCGGCCTGGATGAGGACAGGGGCCCCAGGCGCGGCCTGGATGAGGACAGGGGCCCCAGGCGCGGCCTGGATGAGGACAGGGGCCCCAGGCGCGGCCTGGATGAGGACAGGGGCCCCAGGCGCGGCCTGGATGAGGACAGGGGCCCCAGGCGCGGCCTGGATGAGGACAGGGGCCCCAGGCGCGGCCTGGATGAGGACAGGGGCCCCAGGCGCGGCCTGGATGAGGACAGGGGCCCCAGGCGCGGCCTGGATGAGGACAGGGGCCCCAGGCGCGGCCTGGATGAGGACAGGGGCCCCAGGCGCGGCCTGGATGAGGACAGGGGCCCCAGGCGCGGCCTGGATGAGGACAGGGGCCCCAGGCGCGGCCTGGATGAGGACAGGGGCCCCAGGCGCGGCCTGGATGAGGACAGGGGCCCCAGGCGCGGCCTGGATGAGGACAGGGGCCCCAGGCGCGGCCTGGATGAGGACAGGGGCCCCAGGCGCGGCCTGGATGAGGACAGGGGCCCCAGGCGCGGCCTGGATGAGGACAGGGGCCCCAGGCGCGGCCTGGATGAGGACAGGGGCCCCAGGCGCGGCCTGGATGAGGACAGGGGCAGTTGGAGGGCTGCAGATGAGGACAGGGGCCCCAGGCGTGGCCTGGACGAGGACAGGGGCCCCAGGCGTGGCCTGGACGAGGACAGGGGCCCCAGGCGTGGCCTGGACGAGGACAGGGGCCCCAGGCGTGGCCTGGACGAGGACAGGGGCCCCAGGCGTGGCCTGGACGAGGACAGGGGCCCCAGGCGTGGCCTGGACGAGGACAGGGGCCCCAGGCGTGGCCTGGACGAGGACAGGGGCCCCAGGCGTGGCCTGGACGAGGACAGGGGCCCCAGGCGTGGCCTGGACGAGGACAGGGGCCCCAGGCGTGGCCTGGACGAGGACAGAATATTGAGACGAGATGAAGACAGAGGGCCCTGGCGTAGTTCAGATGAGGACCGACTCTCAAGACGTGATGACGACAGGGGTCCGTGGCGTGGAGGGGATGATGACAGAGGTCCCAGACGTGGCGATGATTCAAGACCTGGTCCTTGGAGACCATTTGGTAAACCAGGTAGGAATAATTTGGTAACTGAATGATAGATTTCTTTGTAATGAAACCTGCTCCCAAAGCTAGATTTATTAACTATAATAAGATGCTGTATACTAAGCATTTGATCTTGGAGACATGGTCTAGGTCTGCTAAGGGCTAAGTGACTGTCAGTTTGATCAATTTGCATTCTTTTCTCTTTTAAATTAAACTTTCTTTTTGCTGGTTTTTTTTTTTTTAAATCCACGTGTAGAAAATATTAATGTGTATTCATTTGTTGTGAGAACTGCACATAAGATGATGTAGGCACAATTTTTTATTTATATTTGAAGGCATCCAAATACAATGTCTAAGTGTGGACAGCTAACATGTTTTTGCCGCTTAAGCAGATTTTGGGTCCTATTTTTACCAGTCATGCTGCAGTGCCCTCCATTAGTCTTGTTGAAGCTTGTACAGAGGGGAAAGGTATTTAGGGCCAGGAGGGAGCCTGACTAGCTTAGTGAAATAGAAATTGTCTTGGAAGTGAAGGGGCCCTGGCTTCTGCCCCCAGCCCTGCCTCCCACTTTATCCCATGTCTATTAAACACCAAATGCAGAAACTTAATTTGAGGCAGAGCCAGAACTCCCTCTCCCAGGCCCTGGAGTTAGGACACTTTGCTGGGAAGTGGGAGACATAGGCTCTAACTCCTTCCTGGCATGGGGATCCTAGAACCTTAGTCTCCCTGGGCAAGTGTCTTAGCCATTAGATTATTGACTAAAATATGGGAGGATCCTTTTCCCCCTCCCTCTTCCCATTTCGGTTTTTAATCCATATAAGTGGGGGAAAATGCCTTCTGCACATGTACACTTATACATGCAAATAGCATTTAGTAGATGTTAATTGAAATAATTCAAATTTAACAACAGTAAGAGCGAGCCCAAAGAACCATGGTTCCCAATAAAGTTCATTTAGTCTAAAATCTTCGTTGTAGGTTGCCACTGAAGACTTTAGTTAAGGCTATGCTAACTAAATTCTTTTGCTTGTTTTTGCACTTGCATCAGTAAGCTCTTGGAGAAGTTTTGGATGTGGGATTTGAGTAGAAAATACAGATTATGTTCAACCCTTTTTTGATCTACAATAGAGAATATGGATCTTTTCCTTTTAGGCATGTAATCAGGATTACAAATAAAAGGTCCCTGTGTGGTTCCTTCTTGAATTCTGCACATATGTCATTGTCCACCTTGAATGAGTTATGTATGGGCAAAGACTCGAGAGGAAAGCTACTCTTTCTTTAAGGTGGTGGTTTTCAATGTCTTGTCTGTGGACCCTAGGGGCTCTGCCAACTAAGAAGTCCATGAAAGGTGACCGTGATCAATCAAAAGTATGTGAATACCCACACTTAAAATTCACAGGGGTCTGCACCGCCATTCAAAATTTCCAAAAGGGACCATACCTCTAATTGACTTTTTTTAGGGGTCTGCAAATGAAGAAAGGTTGAAAACGACTACTTTAAGGCAAACGAACAGTTTTCTTGACTCTGTGACTCTTTTTGTTATGTATAGGTGGGTGGAGAGAACGAGAAAAGGCTCGTGAAGACAGTTGGGGACCCCCAAGAGACTCGAGACCCTCAGCAGACCGAGAATGGGATAGAGATAAAGATCGTGATGAAAATGAAAGGGACCGTGATTTTGACAGAGATCGTGACTTTGATCGGGATGATCGTTTCCGACGCCCTAGGTTTGATTTTCTGTTTTTTAATAAAAATCTGAGTATTGTTAAAACCACCAGCATTTTTAAAACGTGGCGGTGTATAGATTTCTTAAAGGAGAACAGTTTGACTTTTATGAAATCATATTATGAAGGAAATCTCAGTTGTAGGAAGCAGTTACAGAATGTTTGCTATATGTAAACTTTGTTGGAAGCCTTTATTACCAAAAGAGTTGATCTTGCATTGTAATGGAGAGGTCTGAAAGTCCTCTGATAAGTGCCTTACGTGTCTGGGATGCTGTTGCGCTGAAAATGTTTGTCTTCCAACTGTCATTGTCCGTTGCAGCAGAAGCCAGGATGTAAAGAGTTAAACTTTTTCATTTTTTTTAAATGGCAAAAGGGATGAAGCTGGTTGGAGGCGAGGACCAGCTGAGGAAACTTCCAGCTGGCGAGACTCACCTCGCCGAGATGAGTGGGACAGAGGTGGTCGTGATCTTAGAGATCGGCGTATTGATGACAGGGACAGAAGAGGACCTCCAATCAGAGCAGACCGTGAAGAACGTAAGAGTGTTTTCCTTTACCAGTTTAAATCTCGACAATAAGAGTGCTCATTTACATTAAGGCTTCTGTATGCTGCTTCAACCATGTACAGTAGTGACTGCAGTATATTTTATTCCAACTTTAACATTTCTTTATAATATTAGAGTGACATAAAGGTACCATGGCGTAAAGGAGTCTATAGCAGTACCAGAAAATCTATTCCACCTACTAGAGTAGTTGGCCAATATTCTGACAGGTTTCAAGCATGCACTTACACACAGATGGATTTAGTTGGGAACTTGAATGTATTGTGAGCTGATCCTACCTGATAGAATGACTCAGAAGGAGCAGCATAACACTTCCGAGTATGTGAGAGGAAAAGGATCTGATGTTTCATTTTTATTTTTTTAATGTATAGATGCTTTCAAATACCAAACTGAGGTTGTATTTAATTTTGTCCTTTCTGCTGAAATAAGTAATGTTTAACACAACAGCATGTTTTGCAGCACTGTTCTGAGCAAGATGAAATATTACAACCTAGTGCCAGTTCTGCTACTTTTGGTATTGCCTGAAAGTTGATAAAAAGCTGGTAGTATTTTGAACCAGTATATGCTTAAAATCTTCTCCATGTTGCCTTTAAAATTTTGATTTTTTTTCAGTTTTAAGGATTTGTCTTGTTATGAAACTTACCTCTTTCCAGACAGATATTGTAAGCTGTTTTCTTATATTCTGGTGATACCAGCCTTCTGGTGGCTGCCTGAATTTTTGTTTTAATTTTGTGCTTGTTTCATGTACATTTTCAGTGAATTTATGGTAGTGTTGATTCAAGAGATTGGGTTCTATTCTAAGTAACTGAAAAGTGGTGAGGTAACCATTGGTTGGTTTCCATTACAGTGATATAAATTCAGACCTAGTTTATGACCTGGGACTGAAAGCACTTAGAAAATTGTGCAAGAGGGGAAGGTAGACATCACTGAATTAAATTATCAGTGCTAGGCTTGATGAGTGACTTGATTTTAATGTATGTCCTTGCATATTTTTAGCCAACTCATGGCGGCGTGGTGATGACAGGAGAGAAGAGCGTGGCGAAGAACGTGAAGCTGTGCGGCGACCTGCTCCTGCTTCTGCTTTGTCGCCTGCTCCTACTCCATCTCATGCTCCTCCTGCCCCTGCCCGTGCTGTTTCTCCTTCTCCTGCCCCTGCCCCCGACTCTGCCCCTGCCCCTGTTTCCAAGGAAGGAGAAAAAGATGGAGAGAAAGAGAAGGCTGCCTGGAAAACAGAAAAAGAGCGAGAATCCCTTCGTCGCATTAAAAATGAGACAGACGAAGATGGATGGACCACTGTACGGCGTTAAGTCAAAAACAAAATGCAGTTTAAACAGGCATTTTAGCATTGATTTGATGAAATCCACAGATTATATTTGTGCTTACAAACATTCTGAATTGGAGTTCTTTAACCAATATTTTGAGGTAACCTGAAAGCATGAGCCTGTATTACTTACTCGTATTTAGATTGATCATGCACAAAACTCACAGCAGAAGGTTGGGAATTGGATGCCAGGTTCTGAAATTTCAAATGTTGCTGATTTCACAGATTGTTACTAAATAAAAATGTGAACCCTGTGGTTAACTTGGGTAATACCTATATCTCAGACCAAAAAAACCCAGGCCTTTTAATTTTTAAATGAATATTTTTTCTTTATTGGAAATGAGGTATGATTCTCACAGAACATGCATTTGAAAACAAATCTCTGTTCACATCATGGTGGCATTATTGAAAAGGCAGAGCTGGATCCATTTCCATAATTGGACAAATTGGTAAAAACCTGTCCCCCTATTTAGGTATTTTTGAAGGCAGGAAGTTTTTGTGAGAGGTATTTTATCATTATCTAAATTCAGTAAGTTGTTTAAATTTGAATGAATTACAGTAAACATGACCATTAGCTACACTGGGTTATTTTCTGTAGATTTTACTTGAATACGTATGCCTCTAAAGCCATTTTGCAGTCTTTGTTCTAATAATGAATACTGCTGCAGTGTAAAACAACAAAACATAAGGCTTTTGGAATTCAAGCATTTTGGTAAACATACAGCTATATATTTTCTGTTGCCAATAGCATAACTGCTTTCCATACTGGATAATTCATGCCTTTCAAGCATTTATAAATATTGTCATATTTAAAATGTGTGGTTTTTGGAGGAATTGTTCAGATTCTCGAGTCCTATTCCCCCCCCCAGTTCTTTGTCTTCAGGGTAAATGCTTTTCCTCTCAACAAGTGCTTTGTGGTAATGGCTGCGTTGACTTCAATTTTGGGGTGCAGTAACAATGTTATTGATTAAGTAGCTGGGATTTTTGAAGCCAGCACAGAACTTACTGCTGTGTGTTTCTTCTTCAATGATAAATAAACAACTTATGGAATTAGCTCTTGCAGTGTTTTGTCTTTAGTTAAACTTTTTGCTATGTATTCAAGAAGCTCAGCTGCTTAACTAGCTTCTGCTTCCCCCATGCATATTCTTTTGTCACTGTTGAAGAATGTAGCTTGCCGTTCACATGTTTTTGTTTTTTTTTTTTTTGACTGAAAGAGCGATTTAGTTGAGGCAAAAGTGAACTTGCATTGTACATTGCTGCTTTGTCCTTTCCCAAGCACATCCACTAGGGCTGTGCAAAATGGCACTGTTCCATTTTGACTTGTGTTTCAACAGAATGGCATTTCGTTTCAAATTTCGTTTCAGTTCGAAACCGCTGTTCCGTTTCGCCCATAGGCTGTAAAGGGGACGGTTGAAACAGCCTATAACTTTGTCATTTCTGGCCTGATTTGGATGAAACTTGCAGGAATGGTAGCCCCTTCTAAGGGCATGAAGCTTGCCACGTTTAAAGGAGAAAGGTGCAGGGGTTTCAGGGACACTGCACCTCAGAGTCTTGAAAGCAAAAAACTCGTGTGTATGTGTTAAGCCACAGCCGGGTCAAAACTGCAGGCGTGCTAGCCCCTGCTGAGGCCACAAAACCTGCCAAGTTTCAAGGAGATAGTTGCAGGGGTTTGGGGGAAAGTGCACCTCAAGCTGTGGACAAGCAAAACTCATGGGTGACAGTGTGTGTGTTAAGGTGCAGCAGGGTGAAAGCTACAGGCCTACTAGCCCCTGCTGAGGCCACAAAGCTTACCAGCTGTCCAGGAGATAGGTGCAGGGGCTTCTGGGTCCCTGCACCTCTTGCTGCTGATAGGCAAAACTCGTGACATGGGTGGGTGACACTGCGTGTGTGTTAAGGTGTGCCCTCACTCAACTGATACCAAGGCAGAAAGCAGGGCAGTTCAAACAATGCTGCCTTTTATGCAGTTTTCCATCCCCCCCAGAGCACTGGGATTGGAGGGGACCTTGGGAAAGGATGACAGTCACTAGCCAGCTACACAGTCAATAATGAGAGCACTCTTTCCCCACCTTCCTCTCCTTACTTTAGTTTCTGTTTCCCTGCAGGCAAGCCCAGCTTGAGTTTCAAAACATTTCAACTTGCCTAGTTTCATTTTGAGCTCAAAATGAGTTGAAACAGCATCGAAACAAAACCGCCGGTGACATTTTGCAGAGCCCTAATGTCCAAGCTTCCCAAACCCTCCTCATCTTTCAGGAAGCTTATACTTCCATAGTGATCTTCTTTTGAAGGCTGGATGTGGAGTTTCTGAGAGGCCCATCAACTCCACTCCTTGTGTGACCACAAGAATCATTTCTAAGCAGGAGAAAACTGGATCTTCTGCAGACATTTACCATCTTGGGAGATATGGAAACAGAGGGTAGGACCTGAGCCTTAATAACCCTGTACTCTGACTACACAGATGCTAACAGGATAGTTTTGTGTGTGTTCAGATACTCAGTTGATGGGGAAGACTGCTGCCAGTCTGAAAAGTGAAAAATTCTACGTTTTTCTGACTAACCATATTTGTTTGGGGTAAATGTGATATGTGGTTACTGTACCACATCTTCCTTGCTGCATAACTCCATTCTGGTATCTAAACTTTAATTTTTTTTTAACATATTTGAAGCTTTGAGAACGTGAATAGGGTGGTGTATATACTGGCACCATTTGTGCTGAGAACTGTAAACTGCACCTTAGTTAACTTTATTGACTCTGAGTCCTAAAGATGGGACTTTAAAATGCTACTTTTATGGTTGATCATTTTAATATAACTATCCCCTTAAAGTGCTTTTCCAGGGGTACTTCTAACCAGTTTTAGTTTGAATATAAAATCTCCCATCTTTCCTCCTGTCATCTTCCATTGAGGGTAAGGCTAGCATTTTCTGGGAGAATAGTGATGGTTCCAGAATTATGTCTTTTTATGTAAGAGCTGCTGTTATGATTTCATTTTTACATTTACTTAACATTCTCATTGGAAAAAAAATCCATGAAACTGGAACAGAATTTGGGACCGGCTAGCCCTTTTGTAGGGACTCTATAAAATCAGATTGATAGTTGCGCTTCAGTAATTTAAAAACATGTCTTTACATCTCATTGAGAGGAAAGCTAAGGTATACTTAAACTGTAAAACTTTTTAAGTGTTACAGGCTAGCTAAAAGGGTAAGTGTGCGCTGCCTGTGGGAGGTAAGACAATGAGTGTCTAGGAGGCAAATCCCCAATGCTGAAAGCATGAAGTCTTTTTGAAGGTTTAGCTTTCCCTTCTTTCTAAACACCCTTCCCTCTAGCCCCAGAGGAAGCCCTTAGGCTTGGCTTGACTTGGCCTTAAGATGCTAAAGCTGTGAAACCTGACATTTTAGACCTGCTGGGGTTTGCAAGCGAGGCATGTTTGTAAGCTGTTTATCTGAAATGCTTTCATCTCTTGTGGAAATATCCTTGTGAATGCTGGCAGGTTGCTGGTCATCCCTGGCGCTGTTTTGAGAGAACAAAACAGAGGTTCTGAATACGCTTGAAATGGTCACAGTGAATTGCAGCGGCTGCAGTGAGGGAGAGGGTCTTCAACTCCACCACGAGAAAGGAAACAGCTGAAAGGACTCAGGGTTATCTAGGGAGTTGTCAGAGGTGCAATTAACTTGGGAAGCAAAACAGGTGTTGATCAACACGGGGAGAAGGGATGTTGAGATGTGCTCAGAAAATTCCCTCTGCTCCTTTTTCATTACTTTCAAGGCACCTGAACATGCCTGCTCTGTGTCTACTAATTCTCTGCTCTTTGCCTGAGTAAAGGGTTTTAATACCAACAGCTCGTGTAGTAAGTCACGCAGCTACAGTGAAATACATGCACTGTTTTTGATCATTATGGTAGAACTCTTAAAAGTTGCAGGTGGGAGAAAGTATCACATATCTGCTGCTTTCCAGGGAAGAGTTTATTAACACAAAATTATTATCCAGATTTGCTGGTAGATGGGAAATGCTGGTCAAGTAGCCCACATGGGAGTGGAGGAATACATCTTTGTAAAACAACATACAAAAATTAAAATATTAGGGTTCAGTAACAGATTCACTACTGCTTACTTTTATTCTGCTAAAATGGATGCTCCATAAAAGATAAGGTCTAATAAATCACAAACCTTCACCCTTTCCATCTCTTGCTGATATTGTTGGGCAGTTGGCTTGATTAGAAAGCACCAAATTTACTGGTCAGTCCTTTAATTACTGCTGCAGGCTTAGTACTAGTATAATTGGTGGCTACTTTAAGCAGGTGAGCCTTGCAGCATAGGTGTAAGTGTCGAGATACAATGAAGGGAAATTGTAAGAGCACAACCTTTTGAAGTGGAAGGGGGGACATTGTGCTGTAACAAACCAGGTCGTTTCAGTGCTGGAAAGATCCCAGAGAAGCTAACATTGTTGCTATACTGTTGCTTGTCCTACTTATGCCAGGGCATGACCTGGAAGGACAGACAGTCACTTCTGCTACAGGTTTACCTCTGCATCTAAAACATGTGCATGGTCTGGGTTCTCCTTCTCCTGAAGTTAAAAACCAAGATTGGTAACCTGTTACATTTCTCTTGGCAAATGTTGTCAAAGGAAGAACTTGGATTCTGGCATTGGATGTAGCAAATACAAGCAAAACCTCTTTGCACAGAGACACTGAGCTAAAACCTCACACCAATTCCAGTTTAAAAGTCTCAGTAGCTAATCCTGCTAGTGTGGGTAAGCTGGGTGCTGCTACAGTAGTCCTTATATTCCAAAAGCATTTCTCACATAAATCAGCACTTCAGTCTTTAAAGGGTACCTCCCTCTGCTTACAGGAGCAAGAAATACAGCTGAAGTTGCACATATACTTGAATGTTAGCTCCATTAAACCAATGTAAGTGGCACAGGGAAGGTGGGTGGAAAGTGTGCTTAAAAAAAAAAACTCTGCAAAATCCCACGGAGAAGTGCAGTGAATATGGTAGGTCAAG